CCGCCCCCGCGGGCGCTCACCCGCCGCCTCCGCCTGGCGCGGGCCGGGCGGTGCTGCCTCGTCCGGTGCGGGCGGCGCGAGCCTCCCTCAGCGCGGCGGCGGCCAGCCGGCGGCCATGATGGGAAGGGAACCGGCCGCGAGGGGCGTGGCGGGTGTGGCCGCGCCCCTCGCGCGCGCGCGCGCCTCCACGCCCCTTGGCTAGCAGGCAGGCAGGGAGGGGCGAGTGACTGGAGCGGTGCAGGGGGCGGGGCGGGGCGCCCCGGGAATATTAAACAGCAGCCATTCATTATATATATATATACGATAATTATATTAATTAAATTAATACATATGTCTTACTTAAGAATGCCAGCGTGGTTTAGCAGTTCCGAGCGCGGGGCTGGGGCTGCCGCGACCCGCCCTCGCCCTCGCCCCACCTCCCCCCGGGTGACTTGGGCCCCATTGCAACGTGGCCCCTCGTAAGCTTCTGCAAAGCGGACCTTGGCCCTTGGGCAGAAAGCGGGTCCCCACCCAGCTTTAGACTGATCCGGGATTGTCTTGCCCCACAGGCCGCCAGGTCTTTCCTGGCCTCACTTGCCTGGACCACTTGGATTGGAGATGCCCGGAATGGATCTGGAAATATCTGCAGCGCGGTGCCTGTTTCCTTCATCATCTATCATACTGTCAGTGTGGCCAAGTTCTCTCAGATGACAAAGGAAAACACAACCCACTCTCTTGTCAATTGCATGTCAGTTTCCTGGTGCAGAAACACAAGCATCTGTTACATCGTGGGCATTTTGCATTAAGCCCGTGCTTTTCTACATGATCCTGAATCAGGGCAACCTCTTAGGGCTCAACCCTTTGCAAGTTTAGAGAGAGAAGGGGCCTGTAACTCCCAGCATTCTCTAGCCGCCTGGCTAAGCTTGCAGAGGATTGCCTGTGGTCCAGAAAAGCTGCTCCGTCTATTGTTTCCCAGAAGGCTGGCCACCCTTTCAAAAGGCCTCCATTGAGCAACCTGTGGGCACAGCCCTGACATCATCAGGGGCTTGCAGCTTGGCCTCCCACACTGTCCTCGTTGCAGGCACTGAAAAAGCAACGCAGCCAGGTCCCCGCCAAGTCACAAGTGGCCCGTGGAGCGAGGGGAGAAGGGCCAGACTGAACGATGAGGTTCCCATCTGTGCTGGGGCCTCGTTCCCTCCACCTTCCCGGTCCTTTATCTAAATAGCTGGAAATGGTCAGCTAGATAAGGTGCTCCTGTTAAGGACTATAGCAGCAGAGATGGCTAGACGTGGAAATCCACCAAAGCACAGGGCCTCGGATTGTGCCGTTAGAGACACTCAGTACTGGCAGGATTCATGCTTACCTTTCCACCAAGTCTGGGCTAACGAACAGGGAGGCCCTACGCCAGCTAGAGCCTCCCAGGACTTCAAAACATTGCAGGCCTACAAAGCAAGCAAGCAAGCAGGCAGGCAGGCAGGCTGCCGCTCACAAAATGCCAAAGAAGCGGCAAAACACAAAATGCCTCTTTTGAGCCCACCTTTTCCTGCTGCAACACTGATTTCACAAACTACTGAAGTGGAGAGACGGGAAACCCCGAGATGCCCTTGGAAACACAAGTGGTGGGGCTGGCACTTCACTGTGCACCATGGAAGCTTCCCCGTTATTTTTAATTGATTCAAATGAAATCGGGAGGAACGGGCACCGAGAATATTAAAAACAAACAAACCTGGTGATTGCTCCCATGTTGTATATGCTCCAAGCATCCCTTTTCATTAGGAACAGACTCAATTTCCTGGTACCTGCTCTTAATGAACTGCTTTTCCTATTTTTGAGAATGCTTTATTAAAAGGTATTTTTGGTGTGGTTTGTGAGTTTTTCTGCATAGGTTGCATGATCTCTATAATGCAGTTTCTGTAGGGTAGACCCCCAAATGGGGCGGGGAGGGCGCTTCGTTTCTAAAACTTTGGAGGATAAGAGGCTTCCTAACAGCAGGAAGCTGTGGAGCAAATATACTGGAGATGTTCTCACAGGATGCAGGGCCCTCCAGAGACATCAATTCATGAGGGGCTCTGCTCCACAACTCCCTTGCTATGCCACTACAGGGACCCCAATTTGTCTGGGGCTCCCCTTCACAGCATCCTTGCCATGACCATTAATCCAGCCCTGCTGGCGGTCCACACAAGCAACAGATCTTCCAAGTGAGCAAAGCCCAGAACGAGACACTTTGCAAACACAAAACAGATTCTCCGTCTTTATTAGAGCAGGCAGGCAGTGCACATAACCTCACACTAAAGCAGCCCTGGAGTCCAATAAGCATGACAGCAAAATGCACATTAGTTGATTTATTGAATTTCTCATACCGCTGCGTGCCAAGAGTGGGAGGGAACGGTGGCTTCAGGAGGCAGCCGCTATGGTATCCTGGAGAATCAGAAGCTCTCGTGTGTTTCCACTGAGCAGTAAACAAACCACCAATTCCAGGCCTTCCCACACACCAGCATTTCATAAATTGGCTTTCCCTGACATCCATTCTGCTTTGGGGATGGCTTCTTTCATACATTCTGTCTTGATTTTATGGCTAAATGCAATCATGGTGATCTATCGGTGCATAAGTGAAGCTACTCAGAGCTTTTGATATGAGGCAATTAGGACAGAAAACCCATTTTAATTTTCCTTCCAGGAACAGACTGTGTCCGATTGTAGCCCTGCTTTTTCTTAGTAAATGATCTACAGACGTCAGCACTGCAAGGGGACCTGAGCAGCACCTTGACAAACTGAGCAACTCTCTTGGATGGAACAGGAGATGCTCATGAGAACAGCCATCTTGGATCAAGCCAGGGGTCCATCCAGGACAACTTCCTGGCAATCGGTGAGAAATCCACAAGGGGCACACGCGTTCAATGCACCCCCCAATCTGTGCTCCCCAGCAAGGAATGCGCAAGTGCTCAGTGCCTCTGGCACGACATCACATCCTGCAATAGCGAGTCCCTCTGTACTTCCTCTTCTTCCATCTCATAGAAACAGAGTGAGTCACAGGGGACTTCCTGGGCCATCTAGTCTGACCCCTGGCTCCACTCACGACATGCCCACCATGGGCATGTCCAGCCCGTCCTTGCACACCCTCACAATGGGGCCTCCACCTCCCATGGAAGCCCATTCCACACCCTCGGGCTCCTGTCAGGAAGTGCTTCCTGGCACCCAAATGGAACCTTGGAATCTCCTGCCACTCAGCTCCATGAGATGACCCCACTGAGCTCTAGGCATTGTGGAAGAGGAAGGAAATGTTCCACCTCATGCGTGATTTTGGGTACCACCACCACATTTCCCTTTATTCTGGGCTAACAGTTTCACTCACTGCACCCTTTTCTTCACATGGGAGCTGCTTTTACCCTGTCGATCATTTCAGTTGCTTTTCCTGCACTTTTGTACAATACCTGGAACGGTGCACAGAATTCCAGGTGTGGTTGCACAACCGTTTGCTTAAGGACAGCAGAGTATCGGCAGCTGCATTTTTGTTGTTTTCTTCATTGCGCCTGGTTTGAAATTTGTCTTTTTCACGGCAGAAGCGTGATGGGTCCACATTTCTGTTGAGCCGGTCACAACCCCAATCTCTCTCTCAGACACTCATGCAGGGTTGACCGTTTTTGTTACTACACAGGCACTGACATCACTGTAAGAGGCAGGGTTCAGGGCGCAGCAAGTTCTCCTGAGTATGGTCTGAAGGCACGAATCGCATCTACCTTGTTGAAGCTAAGCAGGTCTCGGGCTGGCCTGAGCTTGGAGGGGAGACCCTCTGGAAACCGCCTGCAGTCACCTCGAGGGAAAAGTGGGATATGCTTATGATCAGTCAGTAAGATCTTCCGGTGCAGACTGCGCTGTAGCAGACCGGTGCTCTGGGAAAAACCTAGAAATATGGACAGGCATGCCCCATGCTGGGCAAACGCCTCATTTCACACCACGATTCTGCAGAACGGGAAGAAAGTCTACAGACCTGGGAAACTGACAGCACAGATCTGAAAGAAAATTCTTTAAACATGTGCTACATCTTGCATCCTGCGGATCTGTCCTGTCCTTCCGGCTTCTGGTCAGCTTTTGTCTCCCTCCAACAGTACAGGGGCTTTCCAGAATAGCGAAAGGTGTGGTCTTACGCACTGGCTGCAATTCCCAGCATGCCTCGCTACTCCACACCTAACCCTCAAGAGCTCTGTAGAAAAGGGAGTGACTGCAACGGTGTCTTGCGTTGCAAAGCCAGACTGCAAAGCCAGGTCCAAGCAGGCATCGCTGAAAGAGCGGTCCGTTCCACTTACCTTGCGGCACACCTTCCTCCTTCCCCCGTGTTGGATTTCAGACTGTAAGCTCCTTGGGGCAGGCTCCATGCCCTTGCACCAAGAGCTTCTCGGGAAAAGCAAAGGCGGTGTTCCCAAGACCCTGTGCTCTTGTCCACAGCTCACTCATTTTAATGGAACTCGAACGCAGACGAGTATCTGGATGAATTGTGTCCCACCTACCGGTCAAAATCTGCTGCCAGAACACTCTCAAAAACTCACAGATCTTTAATTTTAAACTGAAAAGTTTATTGAAGGGTTTTGAAACATCTCCAGTACAAAAATAAGGGACTTCCCCACAGGGTGGAGGAGTTCACATGCAAAGCTGCCTTCTGACTGGGGTGAGACAAAAAGGATCTGTGTGCCCTGCGGCCAGGTGAGGGGGCAAACCAGGAGAAGGCCCGAAGCCTAGCGAGATGCTGCTCCACCTTGGCCTCCTGCCTGGAGCAGCGGGATAGAAAGCTGAACAAAGCCCACACATCCCGGGGATATTCCAGGAACACCCTGGAGACTCACGGCTCAGGGGCCTTGTTTGAGCTGCTGGAGGTGTTTGCCACGCAGCATCGCTCGGTCACACAACGGGCTGCACAGTCTCCAAGCCACGTGCCGTGGGGGCATCCAGGGGGTGCGGCCCCCACAGACAAGCCTGCCCACTCCAAATCTGGCTTGCCTGGATCCAAGCAACCCCTATGCCAGAACGGCATGTTTTCGCAGTGGTGGGCAACCTGCGGGCCAAACGCGGCCCTCCTAGTCAAGGCTGGAGTCTCCATGGCCCCACGGTGATCGAGCTGCTGCAGAAACCCAGCAATACGTTGAGCTCCCGCCCCTGTAGGGGGGCCAGGAAGGTGCTGCCCAGGCCCACGCACCCTTCTCTGCAGGGTGAGCATCTGCTGCCATCCTGCCACGCGCACAAATGCACCCACACATCTTCCTACTGTAAACACGCTGAGCACTTTCACCAGCAACATTCCATAATCGACGATGGGACATTAATGGCTCGCAACGCTGCGGGGCAGGATAGACACCTGCCACGTGATGAAGAGGCAACGGAAGGCGGGGGACCCGGAAGCTGTCCTTTTCCGCAACGGGGGACTCATCCCTTGCATCCTCGTTTCACCCTGGGGATCGCGCCTGCTGTCAAAATGGATCCTGGACTATTGTCGATGCCAAAACCCAGCCCGTGCTTCAGTTGCTGGCCAGGCTTTGCAGCAAAACTCAGATGGGCCTTGGGGAAGCGTAAGGGAAATGTAGGAACGGTGCAGATATCCATGACAAAGGGAACAGATGAGAACAATGGCAACATTTTTTCCCATCTGACTCCCCATCATGTCCGAGTCCTGAGCATATTTTTATGGTATATTTTCAGGTAAGGGGATTGGACGGCAGGTGCCTTCCGCACCTTGTCACAAAACTTGCTGCAAGGCAGACGCCTCTCCAGCTTTAGCAGTTCTTGGTAAAAAAAAAAAAAAAAGAGAGAGAGAGAGAGAGACATCCAAAGACTCCTTGTTCCTTCAAGGTTTCTTTTCTTTTTGGTACAAAATTTCTAAGAAATTCCTTTTCTTTTTGATACAGGGCTTAAGAAAATCTGTACCAAAATTCCATTCCAAAAAAAGAAACTCTGGGGAGGCTGGCTCTGAAAGGAAAGAGCCAGTGCTGCCTTGAACCCCCCCCCCCCCTTCGGACTCATCCCTCGAGTTCTAGTAGTCTCTGCCGAGTTTCCAACACGATCTCCTCCATCACCTCTGGCTTCATAAGGTCTTTGATCTGTAATTTTTAAAAAGAGGGGGGCATGGAAATACAGAGCCAGACCCTTGGCTCATCTGGCCCAGTATTGTGAACACTGACTGGCAGAGGTCCTCTAAGGATTCGTGCAAACCTGAATCCCACCTGCGGGTTCCAGGGACCAAACGTGGAGCCTTCCCCGTGCAAGAAATGCACGCTGCCGCTGGCCTAGGACCCTGCCCCATCTGTCTGCACTTACACACAAAAGCACATCGCATCGCACTTGTGGCATAGACGCACCCCACTGTATTCAGCCGAAACACCCAGTTGCTTTCGTCAGTCATGATTAACATGCTGTCTCTTTCCCTCTTGTGGAAAATCCAAGGCAGCTTGCTTTGCCCTGTTTTATCCTCATAACAATAATTCTGTGAGGTTGGGCCTCAGGTCTGTGGCCAGCCAAAGACACCCAGCCCGCTTTACGGTTGAGTGGGGAAGAGAACTCTGATTTCCCAATCTAATACTCCCAATATTATCGTATCACACTGACTTATTTATTCATTTTCTGAGCCCCCCTGTGGTCAAAGCTACAGGATAAAAACACACACAATCGATGATAAAACCGTAAAACTTAAAAACAAAGAAACTATGTCAGGCGAAATAAACCTCAAGTGCTTGAAGCATAAAAGAAGAGAATTTTTAAATCCTGCTTGGAACATATTGCTTCTTTAACAGCAGCATTTTTTAAAAAAATCAAACCTTCATTTATAAATCAAACCTTCATTCCAGGAACCCTTAATACTAAATCAAAGACCTCCTCAGGCAGGGAGACACCTGGGCAGCTGTGTGAGTAAGGCACCAACAGACCCATCAGGCTGGGCTGTTCCAAATGCTGCCCTTGGCTAATACTGTAGAAAAACTGACATGCTATTTCACATTCTCTTCCTGCAGGGAAACTGTACGGCCTTCATGGAAACCCACAAAGTGTGTGCACGGGCGCGCGCTTGCAGGCAAACAAGCCAACGGTGTCTTCCACAGCTCAGACAAACAGAAACAGCGCTAGTCAGAGAGGGCCTCCCGGGCCATCTAGTCTGACCCGCAGCTCCATCCAGCTCCACTCACAACATGCCCACCATGTGCATGTCCAGCCTATCTTGGAACACCCGCACCGATGGGGCATCATGCCCTAACTTATAAACCTCTCCCCCACATGACACTAACCCGTCCCGCACCCCCACCCCACCCATACTACTCCTGTCGCAAAATACACCAACACAGAAACAGACGCATGAATCCATCAACCCCAAAGACCACCCCCGCAATTCTGGCCTTCCAAGTCCGAGGGTCACGCCCTCCCATCACTCCCTACATCCGTGTGGCAGCCCACCCTCTGCCTTCCCCACCCACCGCTCTCTGGCGCAGACACGGGCACGCCCCCTCCATGCCTCCTCCTCGCCCTCCCTGCCCCACAGCACTGCAGCAGCCTCCTACCCTGCCCATCTCCAGCGCGACGTGCATGCCTGCCTCTCTGTGTCCCTCCCCACCCCATTCCCTCCCCACCTCCAAGCACCACCACAGGAGGCGAAACAAAAAGCTCCTTAACAACAGCGGCCGACGCCACGGCCCGCCCCCCGGTGCTCTGCCCCCCTGCCCGCCCCACTTGGATCCTCCACGGGCCCCTCCACGGGCCCCTCCGCCCCCCTGCCCGCCCCACTTGGATCCTCCACGGGCCCCTCGCGCACCATGGAAAGCTTTTACCAGAACCGGTACCTGGTGAGGAAGGGATGCTTCGTAGCAGTACAGGATGCTGGTGTCATACAGCATCAGCTTCTGTGTGACCAGAGCGACGACGCAGTTCCGGAGGCGGGATATCACTTCCCGGTCGGAAAGGGGCACAGGCTGAAAAGCAGGACAACCCCCGAGTGGGTGATTATCGTGGAAATGGCAATCTCTGTGGCCGTCTGAGCCCTGCAACAGCAGCGGGTTGGACCACCGCCTTCTGGCCCCTTCCAGCCCGACCGCTCTAGCATCGAATGAAAATAGCACCGAAATAGCATGTTCGCCGTTCTCGTGGGTTCGCCTCGCAGAGCGCCCAGCCAGCCCAGAGCAGCATGACGGTTTGCCCATTTCTGTTGCTGAAGTGTGAGAATAAGAAAAGTGCTCTTCTAAGGAAAGATGGTTCGGATTACAAGCTGAGCAGCGCAAGCCCTCAGAATGGGCGTTCCTACCGTCAAGCTTTGGAGAGCAGATTAGAACCTGTGAAAGGATCCCTGACTCAGATCAGCCAGGAGCTGCAGAAAAGGAGTCCAGTCACGGCTAGCTGAGCTCTGTCCCATGTCAGTCGGCAGCTGGCCCAGCCAAGCTTTCCAAAAACCTGCATGGGATCGATCCCAAGCTCTCCAAGAACACCTACAGCCCACAATAGGGATCAGCAACTGCCAAACCCTCAGCTAGAGCTGGCCTTTGGCGGGCGGATGAAGTGCGATTTGGCAAGGCTTCCACCGCTGCACCCACAGGCCACGGACTCACCTCCAGGTTGGGGGTGAACCCCCCGGCCTCTTCATCCTTCCGCTCGGGCGTCGGGTAGATCCAGATGAAGCCGTTGTTGCCGAGGATGACAGAGGCCCCGCAGGGCAAGTCGTGGAAGTGCGTCTTCTGCCGTTTCACGAGCGACGGGGACACTTGGACTAGGACTCCCTGGCCCAGCTGGAAGAGGGCAAGAAAGCAGTGACTGGAGGGCAACGCAAGGCCGCCGGTGTTCTGGGGAATCGCCAGCATGGAGCACCGGCTTAGGTATGATAGGAAGTATCTGCCATCAATGAGCCACAGGCTAAGAGCCCAGCCAAGGGATCTTTGGCCCTTGCCCTCTGGCTCATGTCTGGCCAGCTCTTCCCAATCTGGTAGCCGCCAGATACTTGGGACTTTCAACATTCGCCAAGGGGCTAATGAGGCTGACATGCAAATGTCTGTAGGCACAAGGGTGGGGAAGATCTGCCAGAGCCTTCCTCCCAAGGAGCAAGCATCTTTTAATTTCTTGGCTGCCATCACCATCTGCAGCGATCTTGCAGCCTGAGAAAGTAACACCTCAAAATGCCCTACACTTGCTTAATTCCAAGTCACCGCATACACGCATGGATGTTGCACTGTCCTTCCGGAGGGGAAGAACTGACCTCGAGGGGGAAGGAGGCCCACCACACCCCTCTTCCGCGCAGCTCAAAACCAAGTCCATCTGATCCCGGGCAGACGGACTTTTGCGAATCACAAGACAACCCAGGTAACAAAGCCCGATGCAAAACTGGAACACCCACTCACCTTTCCGTATTTCAGGCTCCGGGTATGCAGTGACACCGCCCCGTCAGAGAACACCGCTTGGACCTCTGCCTGCCAGGAGTGCTTAAGGAAATGAGACAACTGCAGACTGCATCTTTTGGAACTCACTCGCTGCCGGTCCCGATGCGGCTCTGGCTGGATGCCGCTAAGCATATGCCACACGGCACAAGGCGTCGCAGCATCCTGGACAAAGCTGTCCTCACAAGGTGACACAGCTGTGACCAGTTCAGCAACTGCTACTGCAGCTTTGCGGTGGACTTGATCACCTATGGTGAGCCACAATCTGGTCCAGGCCACCAGACAGGGGAGCTTAATTAATGGTAAGGTTCTTTTTCTCTTTAGAGTGCATGTGATTGAGCACAGTTGTGGGTAGGCCCGGGTACCAGTACAAGGAGCTGTGCAAGTCCTTCTCAGGCTGCTCCCGTTCCATCTTAAAGGGATGTAGGCCAAAGAACTACATAGGCCAAACTGCTTCATCTGGGAAAAAAAGCATTTCTTCCCGCCTCGCTAACCTGCTCTCCCACTAGAGGCATTCAAGGCAAAACTGGACAGGCGTCTGAGTGGGATGGGGTAAACTGGTGTCCTGCAACAGCAGGGGGCCGGGCCCAGTGGCCTGCAACTCGAGGTCGGTTGGGTGTCCTTAAGGGGGCAAACAAGGCTTTTCAGACGCTTTCCCCTCACTCAAAGCAATTGCAGGGGTCCACACAGTTGCTGCTTGTTGGCTTCCCTTGCTTCCCACCATAGTCATCCATCTTCTCCCTTAAATACATTATGAAAGAAAAGATGGGGCAGCAATACAAGGCCTTTCGGCTGCTAGTACACGAATCCTTTCACCTGGAAGCAGCACCCTGAATTCCCCCTTCTGGGGCCCCTGAAGGTCTGACAGGGCAAAAGAACAGAAGAGGTGGAGACATACAGGCAGGGCCCAAGAACTTCTCTGAAATGGAATTTGGCCCCGTGGCAAAGAAGGGTTCTGCACCCCAACTTTGGAGGCCATCCATTCTTCCGTTCACTCCTCGGCCTAAGCCAGGGGGTTGGATACACTGATAAGGTCCCCTTCCTGAAGGTAATCTCTCATGGCCAGCTCATCTTCAGCAGATCTTCGCCTCTGAAAAACAGCACCGGCAAACAATAGCAAGCAAGGTTAGCGAGTCTGTGCTTCAGTGTCACCTGTCGTGCTCGGTTTGAGTAAGCGTTTAATAAACAAAACAAGAGCTTACAGTGGGGAATGGGAGACATACTTCCTGTGCTTTTCAGGGGACGGAGATGTGTTTATTTAAAATGATGTTTAGACCGCCCTCAGGGCAGAAGCCAGTCCTTGAGCCTGCGTGGCTCAGTGCTGCACACAACTCCCATCTTCCCCAAGAGGCAAACCCAGCCATGACTGAGCCACTGCCAAGAAATGGCCCCTCCAGCCAGAGAAAAAGTCTGAGCTTGATCCACCTTGCATCCTCCCCCCGTTGAGAAGGTGCCATGACCCAGCGTGGGCTCCAAGGCTGAAGAACTCCCTTCCACAGAGGGCCCTGTGCTCTGGTGTAAACCACACCAGGTGCTGGATTTAAGGCAGGGGCACACCTCAGCAGGACACCCCCTCCTTGCCACGTTCTTCTCTGCTGCTCTTTCCCTTTGGAGGGGCTCAGACCAGCGAGCCATCCAAGAGGGAATGGGCAAGTTGGCCCACAAGCCACTGCTCCTTTTCCTCACTCCCGCACACTTGCTTTGGGGGTGGGGGCAAGAACAGGAAGTGGCAACAGAGCTGGGGAACCTGGCAAGCGCTCACAGCCACCCTGCACGCCCGTGAGTGGGGAAAGCAACATTATTTCTGTGCTCTGTCAATGCCAATGCCCAGAGCCTGCTGGTTACTCACCAGTTCCCCTCCTGGGAGATTCATGGAAGAAAGCAGTAAGACAGAATCCAGCCGGGAATTGGTCTCCACTTTCCATCTTTTCTGCTGAACCTAAGGAGGGAGAGAAATTGCTCCTGAAACATTGCTTCTAAACCAGCAAGGCATTTCTTCATAGCAGAGCAAGGGGGAAGAAAAAAGACAACATGTGTTCATAGACCTGGCTGCCTTCTGTACCTCACCTGACTTTTCTTTTAAGACAGCACTATACTACCTGTGAGTATTTGCATTTGAGTGTGTACATGTGTGCTTTAAATAAACTGAATTAAAACACGTTCTGTATATTCTGTTGGTAATCTGCTTCGAGTATGATTTCATTTAGATATGTGGCATATACAAATACTGGCACAACAAACATAAGGAACACAGTTCATTCTAGTTGAATGTGGATATATAGAAATGGAACTGGGAATCAAGAAGTCTTTGTTTCAGATCTCACTTTGCCCAAGAAATCGGAATTATGATACTGATGAAAAATACATAAATATAAAATTACAAATTCTTAGAAATTCTATGTAAGCATCAACAAAACTGGACAGATAGTCAAATAAGTTTCCCCTTGGAGGCAACTGATGATTCAATTCAATATTAAAGTTTTCTGTCCTCCCCAGTCTTCTTACTGCCTTCTGAAAAGCAAGCCAGCTAGATAAATGCAAAGACCCTCAAACATTATTTCACGAATACCCCATATTCTACTTTTCCCATAAATTCCAATAAGCTTCTTCGAAAATGTTTATATCTTACCTCTCTATCAGTAGTTACATCTTTCTGATTTTTTTTTGAAACAAAATAAATCTCTACATCTGAAGCCAGAATTTTACACGCATTAAGGAAAGAAATATGGGACTTTGCAACTGCTTTGGATATTTGATGACTGAAAAGTATTTTTGAGAACACAAAGCAAGTCAGTACCTCTGTGATGCGTCCAACCACGATGTCGCCAACTTCACCATTATACCTGCAAACAAAAAAGCAAAGGCAACCTCAGGCTAAGTTCTTCCTGAAGCGTTGGTCTCATTGCTTCTGTTAATAGTACTTGTTAGCACTAAGTTCGATAAAAGAGTTGAGTAGGGCAAAACACAACGACCCCCGATGAGCTGCATCAGCAAGCCTGTGACTTTACAAAAAGGTCCATCAATAGTTGTATAAGTGTGTCACCTCGGGAACTACATAGGTGTCACACGCTTTTGAACACATGTTGCATCAGTGCAAAACATCTGGATTTGACATGCTGCATACTAACACACACACTCAAATTTCAGAGAACCACTTCAGTTCAGGAGCCATGTGAAAATAAATCTGTGAAAAATTCATAGCCCAACGTTTCTTCCCTCAAGCCACAGATGAAGTGCTTTAAAAAAATTGCTGTAGAAAGTTGTATTCTATCCACTTATTGCTGGGGTAGTCAAATTTGGAAGGCTTGGGAGTCTGAAAAAGCTGTAATTTTAATTATTTTAATTATTCCATTTTATGTATTCGGTCGTGGTATAGCCAATTGATTTTGTTTAGGATTTAGATTATTTTACATTGTAAGCCGTCCAGAGACGACAGTGATGGATGGCCTATAAATGCTACAAATAAATAAATAAATAAATAAATCCTCTTTAAAACAAGGCAAAACATGTACTTTGTTTTAAAGTATTCTCATAGACCCAGGAGAATTCAGTTTCCTATTGGAACAGTTCACATGCTCAGTACTACTTGTTTTAAAGGAGAAATGGAGCAGTTTTACTGCTGGTGTAATGCCAAAATTTGGCAACAGCACTTTGAGGGAGAGTGTGCCATGCTGTGGGGGGGGGCACTGGTCTCCCTGCCTTCAAGTTTGGCTGAGACCCCAGCCTTTTCCCCACGACAGGCGTTCGCTACTGGCTCCCTCTCTTCACAGCATTTTCCCTGTATGTTAGCACAGATCTGCTGAATAAGGGCAGCGTGGTCTCAGTCGCACAAAGCAGCTCAAGCCCCCAGAAGTACACAACAAAATCAATATTCTAGCCTCGAAGGTGCCACAGGAGGCTTAGTGGCTTGGGGAGGAAGCGGCCAGCACAGGACCACTCACCTTGTTTTCAGAGCTTTCACACAGACTAGCTTGTTGACCCTGCCCACGACGCCGGCCACCGATGCGACCAGCTTCTCGTCGGCCAGGTAAGTCCCATGGCCCCTGCCGAAGAAAACGGAAAACCACTCTGAAGGCAGCGTCAGCCACTGCCATGGCACCGCCTAGAACCCTCCATAAGTTTGGACTCCGGCTCCCATCAGCCACAGCCAGCGAGGCCAATAGCCACGAATGCCGGAGGCTGCAGTCCCGCCCCAAGCACCTGCAGCGGGGAAGGCGGCTTGAAGCTCTGTGCATGCTCAGGGCACTCTCGGCCACTCGTCTTCTCACGCCCCAGGGCCCCAAAGGCCAACTGAAAGGCCTGGGGGGCGAGGGCGGGCCGCCCCCTTGCCTGCCCCAGACCCTCCGCGCACGCCTCATGCTACGGCAGAGCAAGCGCCCCCAGCAACCCCGCGACGGGAAGGAGCCGCCCCTCACCTCATGTATCCGGGGTCCGTGGTGATCGTGTCGCCGGGGGCCACCAGGTCGCGGTCGCCCTCTCCTGCCCCGCGGGACAAACTCTGCGCCAGCCGCTTGCGAGCCACCGGCAACCTCACCTCCATCGTCGCCATCTTAAATGAGGGCGCACTGCCGTTTCCGGTCACATGGCCTTCACTTCCGCCAGCTTAACGCCTGCCCTTCCGAAGGGTGGAAGGATGGGCGCCGCCATCTTTGCTGCGGGCACCGCCTCGCTTCCGGTCGTATGTCCTCCCTTTCCGCCATCTTAACTGCTCCTCTTCCGGTGTGGGGATGGAAGGGAGGAATTGGCTCAGGGACAGCGTGATTGAGCGGCCAGGAGCTGCAGGATTTTTCAAGGCGGCGCTCTGGCGCCCTCCAGTGTCGGATTTTGGGATTGAGATGTTTATTTTAAGAAAACCAAATTCCCCCCCCCCCCCGGCCAATCCTCCTGTGACGGGCAGGGCGGTATGATGGTGAGAGTATTGAACCTGGACTCGGGAGATCCGCGCTCTAGTTCCCACGCAGCTTGTGGCCATTCACAGACTCAGCGTAGCCTACCTCGCAGGGTTGGTGTGAAGATAAATCTGGAGGAGGAGGACTGTGTCCAAAAGTTTGCCTACCCCAGGGGAATTTAGGTTCAGGATGCTGCTACTTCTATGAAGCTCCCAAATCCGTCCTTCCAGTACAGACTCTGGTGGTGAGTGCAGACGGGACTGGAGTCGAAATGAGCCCAGTGATGTAGCGGCATCCCTGGCGAAAACCCCAGCAAGAGCTTTCCTGCCAGGCGGTGAGGATGCGCTGCAACATTTTGTTGTCGTGTCTGTTTCCATTTTTACCACTCCCCAGCTGGGAGCATATTTTATGAAGAAGCAAATTCTAAAACTGTTTGGGAAACACTAGGAAAAGTGTGCAACATACGGGAGCAAGGATGACTGTGAATTCATAGGGCATTTCTTCTCCGCCTCACTGATGCAGAGTGTTTATGTATTAAAAGCCTTTTCATCTATTATGTCATTGTTGAAAACAGTCTCTACTTGCAACACCAGACATTTGAATGTGTGTCTTTTTTATTATTTAGAATACAAGAGTGTGAGAGAGGTACAAAGATATATACAGCACTGTACATAACACAATCAAATATGATACAATCGCAACATTTTGTAAATAGAGTTTTGCACAAATTTATTTACAAGGTTAAAGTGACCATTGTTTCCTGGAAGTAGAACACCATTTGGACAACTCTATACATCTTATCCTGGCAATAGGAATAGATATAATCACAGCATGGGTGCTTTTAAAAAGTCTATTTTACAAAAGTCCCTCTCCTTTCTCTGAAGCGGTACTGGCTCTAGGGACCGGAGGGCTTCTGTTTCTGTTTCTCCTCTCCACCAGCTCCACCGCCTGGAGCACAGCAAGAGGCAGAGGTTGTGGTGATGGAGAAGCAAGCCTGGAGGGCTTTTGCAGAAGGGGTGGCCCTGGCAAGGGCCCTTCTATGCCCACCTTTGGCGCTGGCCTGAGACGATGTTGGAGCAGCAGGAGCGGCGAGCAGCTGAAGGGCTTCCCAGCATCTTCAGTCCGGAAGGATCAGGCTGCAGCTGCTGGGAAAACCCCCGCCTCTTCCTCCGTCCCAGGGGAACACCATGGGGCTGCTGGCATTTCTAATCATGAGCTCACCCAGAAGTTCGGACTGATCCTGGGATTGGAACCACCCCTTTCCGTCTCCAACTGTTGCTTTTGATGGGTTCCATGCTGGGGCCACAGAGAACTAAACCTTGGCCCAGGGAGGTGGAGGAGAAGAACAGCTGTTTCTGTCCACTGCATAAAGTACAGTCCTGCCTGGGATGGGAGGCCACGTTCTCAGTTCTCCAGAACGTCACTGGGTGTCTGTGGACTTCTTCCTCTCCCCACCCCTTCATTCAGAACGCACATGGAGGCAGAAAAAAATCCTCACAACTTCCAGCAAGCTCCAGACTGTTTTCTGTCTAAGCATCCATAGGATCGTACCCTCAACTGCCGTGCAGGAAGGAATTTTCAGTGGGGAGAAGGCTGCAGCAGGGGGGAGGGCCATCGGTCCCCTCTCCACATGCTCCAACACCCACCCTCCAAAATCTTAGTTGCCCTTCATGGCAAATCAGCTTGGGAAGCAGAAACCCTTTCTCATTGATCCTGTGGCCGGATGCAGATTAATGGACCATCCATTTTATCTGGATGGATGTCAGTGAGGAGTGAACTGGACAACTGTTGCTTCTGTGCTTTGTAAAGAAAGCCTTGAAAATGTTTTGATATTTGCACAGAGCCAACGTGGTGTGACGGTTTCGGTGCTGGGCCAGGGACCCACACGATTCTGGTCCCCACCCAGTCATGAAGCTCACTGGGTTGCAGATGCCCAGCCTAGCCTACCTCACAGGATTGTTGTTTGAGGATAAAACAGAGACAAGGAGAACTCTGGAAGTTGCCTTGGGTTCCTCGCCATAGGAAAATGTGCAGGATATAAATGCCATGTAGTGAAAATTTGAAACATTAGCATGTTGCCCCAGGTACCTGTTCCTTCACCTGAGTTCTGTGTTGGAAGGTGTGAGAATTCCCACTGGCTGGAATTCCCCACCATGGCTGCGTCTTCTGCACTTCCATCCACAGTGCAGCATCCCCTCGGCACGCTTCGACCCGGCCCTGGAGCCCAACTCTGGGCCTTCTCCCACCCCCCAGATTTCCCTCTTTTCTCTGCACTTAGCCCTTCTTCAGGATATCTGAGGGGAAATGCATTTTTCCAGCCAAAAAAAAAAAAAACCTGTTCTTGGTTGCGATGCAACAGTATTTCGGGGTGCTTCAGCCTAGAATGGGCACCGAAGACCAGGATGAGGGGTGCTCCTGGTGGAGACGAAAGGGCCAAGGGCTGGTGCCACTCCTGGCATTTTTGGGGCTACCTCTGGGGTCATGCCTGGATGGCCGCCCACCCTTCAAAATGCACCAGCACTATCCTGAGCTGCACGGGGTGGAAAGAAAATCTGCCAGGATCCCTTGCTAATGACTGGAAAACCTGGGGAGCAGAGAGGGGTCTCCTGTCAATCTTTGCAGGAGGCTGACTGAAAACCTGGCGCCCCCACCCCCAGGAAAACTCCTGGCCAAAGTGCCGCCCCACTAAAAAAAGCATATGCTGCCCCCTTGGCAAGATTGTGCAGCTGCAGAGGTGGGAAAGAAAGTGTGGGAATCATCAGGGGAACTTTAAGGGACCCCTGCGTTCAGGTGCCATGATTATCTTTTTAATGATAAGAATACTATGGAACAACTGATTAGAGAGCACTTTTGACTCTTCCCGACCACGCAGGACTTGGTCTCAGCAGTTCTGCCGACAGCCCCGCAAGGTAGGCTATGGTTTTGTCCCCGTTTTGCAGGTGGAGGCGAGACCACCGCAGCAGCGGCGGCCAGGCCAGCCCGAGCGGGGGACTTGGTGAGGCGGCGGGACTAACAGCACCGCTGGGGCGCTCCCCCCTTGGGGACCAGCCTCCTCCAAGCCGGACGCCCCCAGGAGCCCGGGACTGCGGCTCCCAGACCCCCCGCGGCTCCCGGGCGGGTGAGGCGGGCCCGGGATCCCGCAGGGCAGCTGCACCAGCGCCTGCGAGGATGCCCCAACGCGCGGCTTTGCGGCTGCGTCCCCCGGCCCGACTCTCCCGCTAGCTCGCCCACCCGGCTCGTCCGAGAAGCGGGCCCGTCCTCTCCTGATCCGTAGTCCGGGCAGCCAGTCCCTTCCGGGTGTCCCGCCCCTCTCCCTCCGAAAGCACGCCAGCCTCACCCCGGGGCGCTCCTCCTCCGCCGCCGCCCTCTGCATGCGGGCAACCCTTTCCCAAGGCCCTCCCACCCCACCGGGGCAGCTCCCGTGCGCCTCTCCCCACCCCGCAAGAGCTGTCCGGCGGAGCGGGTGCAAGGGCGCGTCCGCCCCAGTCTCCTGCTTCCAGCCGCGGCCGGCCAGCAGGCTCCGGGAGCGCGGGCGCAGCCAGTCTCCGGCCGCGGCGGTTCCCGGGGCGGGCTGCGCGGCCGGGGCCCCGCGGACACCGCCGGCCGGGAGCGCCCGGGCCGCGCCGCGCCTCACAGCACCATGGCGGGGATGTGGTGCGCCAGGGCGGGCGGGTGCGCGCCGGGCAGCGCGGGCGAGTGGGCCTGCAGGGCGCCGTTGGGCGGGCGGTGGCGGGCGCTCTTCTGGTGGGCGCGCAGCCCCGCCAGCTGCGAGTAGGCGCTCTGGCACACCTGGCACTTGTACGGGCGCTCGCCCGTGTGCAGGCGCACGTGGTTGCGCAGCGTGGACGACTGGCTGAAGCGGCGGTTGCAGAAGCGGCACACGAAGGGCTTGTCCAGCGTGTGGATGCGCATGTGGGAGCGCAGGTTGCTGCGCGAGTTGAAGCCGCGGTGGCAGATCACGCACCGCATGCGCCCCGTCGAGCTGGCGCCGGCCTCCGCCGCGTGGAAGTCCTCTGCGGGGCACAGAGCGGGAGAAAGCCGCGTCACGTCCAGCCCGGGCCGGGAAGGGGCCGCGGCGCCGGTGGCGCGCCGGGCGCCGCGAGTTCCCCCGCGAGGATCCCGGTTGAAGCGGGGCTGCGAGGGCCCGACGCGGTCTCCCTCCTCCGGGGTCGGGAAAGCGCGGCGCGCCCCTCTGGCGCGCCCGGCCCCTTGCACGCGCGTGTGCACGGGTGGCGGCAGCGGTCTGAGCTGCGCGCGGTTGTCCGCGCGGTCATGCCCACGACGCTCGGGCGCGCATCAGCACCGGAGCGCGGCCTGGAAGGGGCTGATCGTCCGGAGCGTCCTTGCGATCAGCAGCCGTGTCTGCCCGGCTTGGATGCCCGATTCAGTGGGCTTCCTCGTGAGTAAAGTAAAAGACTTTACTGGGCAATTCTCTGCGTGCCTGGACCCAAGTCAATCCCGCTGGGTTCCGTGGGGCCTTACTCCCCCGTAAGCCAGAACAGGCGTACAGCCCCTGACCCAGGAATAAGCCGCCACTGGACTCAATGGGATGTCCATCAGACGTCTCTGATCCCCACCCGTTCCCTGGTTCAGCGCCACAGACCTAATTTTAGCAAAAGGCGTTGTTCTACGGAGATGCAGACTCAGTCGCAGCTTGGGCCACATTCTGTTTTGCAGACCATCCGGGAAGCTGCATCCCGCGGTGGCCGGGGCCAAATTACCCCAAGAGCCAGTATAGCTGGGCTCAAAGCTCTTGCTGCCAGGAACTGCGGCTTGGGGAATGGCGGGGCTGGAAGAACCTCCTCCCTGAAACCCCGGAGAGCCAGGGCTGCCGGTCAGTGCTGGCACTATTGGGCTTGAAGGCCCCAGGGACTGACGCAGTCTAATGCGGCTGCCCATGTTCAAATTGAAAGCAGCCATTAAGCCAGAACCATGAGGACTAGAATCTTGTCTCATTTAGGATTAGCACCGGGTAGCTCCCAGTGGGCCTTTGAAAGGGGCATCTCAACATTTTAGAATGAGGAAAAGTGACACAAAAGCAGGCCAACACTGGGCGGCTGGGGGGAAGGGGAGCAGCTTGGACTACCTCAGACTAACACGGGCCGATTCCCCAAGGTCCCACCCCCCTCTTCCTGGGCATGATCCATCCCCCATGAGGAAGGCACGTTCCCTCCTTCCACCCTGTACAACTGGCCATTTTTAGCAGGGGGCGGGCACTGTGCACCTCTCGGATCCCCATCCCATCGGAGCCCTTTCCCCTTTTCTCTCGGGACCCAACCTTGAGAGTTACTCATGGCTGGAGCAGTTGGGGGATGCATCAGGACCCATATTCTGCCCACATGTTGTTGATGAGATAAATAATGTTAATATTACAGCTCATCACATCACAGAACTATTCTCGTTCTATTAAAAATGAGCAAACAGCAGAGAACAACGGATTTAAATCATTAGGGGGTTAACTGGATTTCGTGCTTTTGTCCCCAAAATTGGGTCCCCCCACAGAAATGTCCTGTAAAACTTACTTGCATGGAAAACAAAAACACCAGGACAAAATACCACAGTGATCTGAGCTGTTATTTCCTCGGTCGTTCGCGAAAAGCTGAGCTTTGCAGGAGCTGCCCATGGTCCTGAACTGCGCTCCCCGTGGGTCCCATAGCCCAGAGGACCACGAACAGCTCCTGGGACGCTCAGAACAAAATTTGCAAGGGATATGGAGTCCCACTAGCCTAGGGGACACCGGCTGCCCCTGGATTTCTGCCCCACGCCTGGTCTCCTAGCACGCGGTTTCCCCAGCTGATCTGCCTCGTCAATCATTCTGTTTGATACAGGTGCGGTCTGGGTACAGATGTGACCCAGGGGGTGGGATTTCCGGGCATTGCTGCATTAATTGCCATGGGAGCCAATGCACAACCTTGGGCTTGACCCCACGGGATGCTGGGAGGGTGAGAAAGGGAGGGATTTTCTCCATCTCATGCAGAATTCCGAACTTCTTCCCTGCTCCCTTTTCCTCCATACCTGCTGTACCCGCCTCCCCCTCCTTAAGAAGGTCTTTTGCCACTGCCGTCCTGGATCCCCCCCCCCCCCCCAGAGACTGGCTGCCCCCTCACCGTGTTTGCTCTTCTTCTGCTCCTCTTCCAGACCCAGCACGCCGGGAATGCCCAGGAAGGTGTTGTGTGAATTTCCATACCAAACCAGCAACTCCTGATCTGGGGGGATCATCTGGGAGAGAGAGGAGGGGAATGGGAAGGAAGAGGGCTTTAAAGAAGTTTTTAATCCACATCTTCCTCTAAAAAGAGGCTGCGCACTCCCCAGAGCGCTTTGGCTACCGGGTGGCAGAGAAATGGAATTCCTGATGAAAAGGACAATTTTGTCTCCGTGAATCTGCCATGTCAGGCAGAAGTGGGGAGTCCCTTTCATCCTGAGGGCCCGATTCTGTTGCAGAGAAGTCATTTGGGGGAGCAGTCCAGGGGCGGCGAGGCCAAACACAGCAGATGTGGGATCAGCAGTGCAAAAACACCAGAGGCCTGCAGCTCCAGGGTGCAACCCAGTGCTTGCTCCAGAAAAAGTCCCACAATTCCTAGCATGGGCCAGCCAGCAGGATCCTGGGAGCTGTAGCGCTTTTCTTCCTGGTAAGACAGGTACAGAATTGCACCCTACAGTCCTCACTGGCCCAGGAAGGTTGTCCAACCTTTTGGGATGGGGGAGAAGGGCATGGAATCTGGCAAAACGATTGAGCTGTGGTTCGGAGGAAGGTGCCGGGGAGAGGCATGGTCACCTGAGGAACCTCTACGGCCTGGATCTGGCCCCAGATCCTGGGGTCCCCAGCTGTTTTAGGGCCACACTGAACTTGCTGCAAGAGCAGGTTTATTAGATGACTATAGCTCCCCATCACCATAATTTTAGCAGATTTTTCCGTAGCTGCATACTCGTACTTGCACTGAAAGCAATCACTGAAAAAAGCTGGCAACATGCCTGCCCAGTAATAAACAAAGGAATGCCGTTTTTCCAGGTTGAGGGAACTTGAGTCAAACTTTGATAAGACCTGTCTGATGTTCACCAGGGTTTTGGCCTGATCAAACTGGGGAAGACACAGGAGAGAATTCGGCCATGTGCCAAACCCCAAAGGGAAGCAATTCAAAGCACATCACATATACGGCATTCCTCACAACAGCCCTGTGAAGGAGACCAGTGGCATTATGGCAATACTGTTCACGGGAAACAGAAGCTGACAGACGTCTCTGAGCCACAGAATTTCACCAAGTAAAGACAAGACAGATCTGTAGTTTATAAACCTTCTCTCTTTGTGTGTCTACTCAGACATCAGTCCTGCTGAGTTCAGTGGGGTATATTCCCTGGTAGGCATGCATAGGATTGCAACCTTCAGCCTCTTATCCATCACTATAACTCCCATAATCCCCAGAAAACTTGAGGGGTATAATCTAACCTCACCCAGGAGGTTAGATTATTCTACTTCAACCGCAACTGCCTTCAGGTGGCAGGAAAATATATTTGTCATGAGAATGAAAGGGTTAACCCAAAAGTGCCATCAAAAATGAGAATGAAAGGGTTAACCCAAAAGTGCCATCAAAAATGAGAATGAAAGGGTTAACCCCAAAAGTGGCCTTGCAATGCTGTTTTCTAGATATGCAATTCCTGCCTCTTATGCTTCCTGTGCCTCTCCTGCCATTGAGCCATATAGCAGTTATTTTCTTTTTGAAAAGTAAATAGCAAAATGTTGTCAAAAAGCATTCAAAACCTTCTGTGGAAAGAAAAGCAGCACCAGCCCACGGCTAAGCAGCACTTGCTAAAATCTTAACTATTATTTTCCCATTAGGAGGCAAAACCTGAGATACAAGAGATGCCACATAATAACAGTACTCAGCCCCGGTGTGCAAGGGAACCGTGCAGTGGGCGGCTGAGTGGGCCTCAGCTTGTGTTGCGCAATCCATGTGACAAGCACCAGTTGCTCATCCCGAATCTGAGCTTTTCCCAGTTTGCAAGTTGGAACCCTTTCCACAGTGGGTGGCTTGATCAAGCTTGCACCTGAAATTTTAGGCAGCCGTATATTTATTTATTTGTATTGCAATTTATATCCTGCCATTTTCCTACAAAAAGCTCAAGGCAGCTCACAGCATTCTCCTCCTCCATCTTATCCCCACAACAACAACAACCCTGTGAGGCAGGTTGGGCTGAGAGTCTGTGACTGGCCCAAAGCCACCCAGTTGGCTCCATGGCCGAGCGAGGACTCAAACCCAGATCCTCTGAGTCCCAGTCCCATGCTGTTCACCACTACACCACACTGCCTCTCCATATGTGAACCATGATGGAGAGCTGTGGACACTTGAGTGTGTTTGTCACAGCAGAAGAGGCAAGTCAGTTTGAAAAGGGAAAGTTACTTGCCTCTTCTGGAGCGAGCTGTTTGTGGCCGACAACACACTGCAGCAACAGCTTCCAGACCCCCCAGTGTGTGTGTGCGCCCTGCATATGCCTCCAATGGCTCCCAGACTGAGGGAAGAATCTACTTGTGACAGATCTTAAAACCCGTGAAAGGTAGGCCTGACTGGGAGGAAAGTTTTCCTGTGCTCTGTGTGAGATCCCAGTGAAAGGGCCTCGGCAAAGATGCAGCTTCTGCTCTCAGCTCCTGCAATTCCCCATTGTGCTCGGCTCTCCCGTCCTTGCCTGGTCCTCGCATGCCTTACCTCGATGGCCTTGTAGAAGATGCTGTTGCCGATCTGGACCACCTCCAGATTCTGCTCTTGTTCATTCCTGGCACACTTGATGTACGTCATCCAGCTGCGGTGGTCCTCCTGGCTGGCGTCGATGAAGTAGCGGACTGTCCCATCTTCGTTGAAGACCTGGGAGCAAGGTGGAAAGAGTTCATCCAGAGATTGCAACCTCCCCCGGTCTGAATAGAAGCATCTCAAAACAAAAACGGAGTGGCGGAAAGTGGGCATCCAAAATGATCAAAGAGTCCTTCTTAAGTCCTCCACCCTCACAAGCCACGTGAAACTTCTGGGATTAGACTACTGGAAAGGCCTTCTGATAGAAGAAAAAGCCCAGCTCTTATTCCAAACACCTAAACTCTCCTGCAGCTCCACCGTGGTTGCCTAAATCAATAGTGAATGCTGAAAATCACAGGCCCTTGGCTAGGGTCCTGTTTGCTGTTCGGTAATCCAGCCCTGGTCAAAGATACCTTGATCTCGGTGGTTCTTTTTGGTTTTTTTTAATAAGTTTTAGTTGAGAAATTATAATCCTAAAAAACAAAAAGAAAACTACAAACAACATCCCTCATCAAAAACATCGAGCCCGCTGGGTCAGCCCCCACACCCTTCTTTTTCCATTCATGATAACTTAAAAACATATTTAAATCTATACGAAGTCCCGTTTCTCTAGCCAATAATAAAAAGAGTCCCAAGTTTGATAGAAGTCAGATCTCAGTGGTTGTAAATGGAGGATTTCCTGGAGCTTGCAAGTGGAAAGCCATGCCATCTGTTTCTCCTTAGTGTGTTGCTACTGTTCTGGTTATTTTATTTTGGTGGTAAAAGAAAAGGCAGGGGAAGTGATCAGAAAACACTGGATGGTTCCCAGTGGAAGTCAATATTGTCTCGACTTCCTGATAAATACTGGGAATGAGGTGAGGCAACGGTAAAGTGGAAGATTTTCCTTCTCTTGCATCGTGGATGAGAGAGCTATCCAGCCAAATGCATTTGTCTTGGGATGCTACTTCTTTGCACAAGCCATAGTAAAATTCGTGGATTTTGTAGCCACAAGGAGAAAGGGTCCCGTAGGACTTTTCTGATGTTGTTATCACACTGACTTCTGGTGCTAAAACAATGCATGCATTTGTCAGTCCTGGAAAATTAAGCTCAGTCTCAGACCAACTTTTCACAACTGATTTTGAAATTAAGCCCTTAAAAGAAAGTCTAGGAATTGTCGATTCATTTTGAGGCAATCAAGTTAATAATTACCTTTACAACTTTGTATTCCCACACCCCTTTCTATAATCCCTCTAACCACCTATAGTTTTAAGAATGTGTTGCTAATCAGGACATGCAAATGAGAAAAATATCCATTTCAAATATTTGCATAATAGTTTGAGCCATGAGATTCGTTTGAGAATTTCGCATTCCCTGCACACCCAACTCCAATTTTTGTAAGCAATTTTACTTCTGGGATTTATTTATTTATTTATTTATTTATTTATTTATTTATTTAGAGAACGTCTATGCTGCCCCATTTGCCAAAGCCTCAGGGCGGCTCACAATCAAAAATAAATAACATAGTATAAACAGTTTTACGTTTGGTGTTGCTATGGAATTCGGTTTTGGGGAATATTCTTTGGGGAAAATTTCCCTTTGGGAGAAAAGGAAAGGGAAAGGGGAAAGCAGTCCACAAATTTGAAGAATCGGCACAAACTGGGGAAAAAGTCCACAGCAAAAATACCAGTCAGATTCATCAATATCAAACCAAACCAAAAGGGGGGGGGGGGGAAATACAGCTTGCCAACCTTGATAAAAAGAAGAAATACTTCAGCTTTGTATTTTAAAATCTCTTAACTCACAGCATTGTCTGGACTACCAGAATAAAATGAGCAGGTTTCTGCTGCCCTGGTCTTAAATACATTTACTTGGGAACAAGCAGGATTCTGACATTAAAAAGAATAACTTTATGTCAGCTAAAAAAGAGCACCTGTAATTAGGTGCACATCCAGTCAGTTGCCCTGCTCTAAAAGGTTAAAAAATAAGAAAGATGTCAGGAGAAGCAGCAGCAGCCCTGGGTTGTGGCTGAGCTGGGAACCCCGAGAGGTTCACCTTGGCTGGGTTCAGACAACAGGATGTGGGGTTGTGAACTGATCCCTGAACCCAGTCAAAACCTGTCCTGAATCTACTGCCCGTCAGGAGAGGGTGGGCAGAAGCCAGGATGGAAGAAAACTGAAAGGCCGTGTTCTGTCCGTGTTCTCCACCAAACCTCTTGATTTGAGAAATGTCAACGGAGAACCCCTATGGAGCAAGTCTGTCGTGATCGGTCCCACTCAGTATATTTAGGGTAAAGAGTTGCTCTCTGCCATAAGCATAACAATAGAATCCATGCGCTGGACACGCTACGGCCATCAGGGCCAACTTCGGGGGGCGGGGCGGGCAGGGCACCTCATCCACCCGTGTCCCTCCCTCCTCACTGTGGCACCTGGCCTGCTCCCGCTTCCAGCTGCTCTGAGCCCCCCTCAGGGCAGTTGGACCCGGGGACCCTCATGCCAGCATGGTGGGGTATCCACTCCGGGTTTTAGTCTGGACATTTAAGGAGCTCTCCGCAGTGCTAAAATGGGTTTAGCACCACAGGTTGCTCCTTTGAATTTCAGATGGAAGCTGGCAGGGATACACCACCCCACTGACTTTGGGGGCAGTGGCCTTCTTTGGTTGGGGAGGGTGAGAGAGAGGAGGGGAGGTTCCCCATCCTCTGTGCCCCCCAGTGCTCCGCCTATTGAGCATGAAAATGGGAGGGAGGGGATGAGGGCAAGAACAGAAGGAGGCAGCAGAAGAGGCAAGCTGGACTTGCTGAAGGATGGGCTCTTGTCCAAGCCTGCCCCCGCCCTCAGAACCAGGATCCAGCACTGATTGATTGATTGATTGATTGATTGATAATAGTACAAATAAAGGGAGCATACCTCTCCCACTTTGGTCCCCAGAATCTGGCCCACTGCTCCTGCACATGGAAAATGCACAGGGCTACGATGCCCTATGGCAGAACAAGTTTGGCAAGAATTTCTGACTCCCAAGCTTTTGGCAGCAGCCGCATCGCATGGGCTCCCCGGCCAGCCTAAATCACACTGCCGAACTGAAGCAAGGCTCAGTTTCCAGCACTGGATTTGTGTGTGTTCAAGGGCCGTGAGCTCCTGGTTAGTTCTGGAACTCAAAATAAGCCCCCAGACTCAGTACCCAGAATTGCTGGAACTGTTTCTTCGCTTGCCTTCCTCTGCGATTGCTCCATAGCCAATGGTTAGACTGTAAGCTCCTTGGGGCAGGGGCCTGCTGCCGCAGCCTCAGATTTGGAGGGCTGTGGCCATCTGGTGCAGTGCGGGAAGGCCGTGGAGGGGACCGCCACCCCCCTTTGCCTCCCACCCTGCCAACTGGATGGTTTTAGCCACCTTGCAGAGATGCTTTGGGTGGGGAGGGGAGGGGAGGGGAGAGATCCCTGGATTAGCTGTCTCCTGCTGTGTCCAGGCTTCTCCCGTTCCTTCCCCCAGAATGCCCCCTCTACCCCTTCCTGAGGTCACTCCCACGACCTCAGAGTTGCAACCAGCACGGTCCCTCCATGGCAGCTGCGGTGGGGGGAGGGTGCCCAATCCTAGCCAGTTCTGGGGTCACAGTGTTTTTCTGTGATCAGATGAGGGGATCCAACGAACCCTTCAGGCTCTCTAGATACTCTGCCTGTCTATAGAAATCAGAAACTCCCACACTCCACACATTCTTTTAAAGCACTGGAGTTGATGCTAGTCCTCAAGAACCTTGTAACACAAGGGCAGCTCACGAATGCAATGCTGGAGAGGACCCTGCTGTTCAATTCCTTGCAATGGGTCTATTGCTACTACTTCTTCTAAAGTACTCCAAAGATGATGATGATGAGGATGCTGTTGCATTCATAAACCACATCTCTTCCTCTTACAGGAGCTCAAGCGGCTTCCAAGGTTCCATTTCTCCTTTTCATCCTCAACAACAGGGCAGACCAAGACTGACCTGCATCACCCAGTGAGAATCAGGGATGATCAGGGACTAGAATCTGAATCTCCAGAGTCCCAGCCCAATGATTTAACCCCATGCCACATCCGTACCTACGCTGGATCCCACTGGAACACCAATTTATTTATTTATTAGATTTATACCCCACTTCTTCTTACAATGAACTCAAAACGGCTTACACCTTTCTCCTCCTGCTGTTCTCATTCTCATCCCCAAAACAACAGCCTGGTGAGGTTGGTTGGGCTCAGTCTCAAGTGGCCCCAAATCCATGGCTAAGCGGGGACTGGAACCTGGGCGGCCCGAGTCCCAGCCCTGTGCTCCAAACACCACGCTGGCTCTCCGTGATGTTTCAAAACGAGACTCTTAGCCCACCCGCCCAGCCCTATTTAGATCTGTATCTACTTGCAGGTTGCCACTTGATTTGCAAAAGCTTCTGAGCCCCCCCCCTCCACCAACCACAAAATGACAGCACCCTCCATGCAGACTGGTAGCGCCCGTGTCTGTCCAGTGTATCCATTCCAGGTGGAAGTTGAACGTAAAGAGCTAAACCACAGAGCAGAACCTATCGGAGGGATGGAGTTCAGTTTTGTAAATGGCCCCTTTACAGTTCAGACTGCAACTGGAGTGGATACACAGCCCCACTCAATTAGAACCACCAGTTTCCACTGAGCTGCTCTTAAATTCACTGGGTTGTAATAAAAAAAAAGCTGGAGGTCCCTTCAACTCTGACAGTCAAATGTCTGGACTCAGAATTCTTTAATTCTATGTTTCTGTCTTTTGTATGGTCCTTCTGGCTTATAGATTTTGTATTTTAAGAAAAAAAGAAAAGAGGACAGAAGGGAGGACAGGCGGGCAGACAGAAAATGGATTTACAAAAACTACAAAATACAAAATCCCTAAATAGAAAGGTTCAGGCACCTCCTGCGACATTCCCCATTCCAAGTGCATCTCCCGCAAGGAATAACGCATCCATGTGCATATATATGCCTATGCACATTTCTCCAGTTATATTATCTTTGGATGCCCCTTTGCCCAATATACTTATCTTTGCATGCAAGTATCCCATTCATTCTGTGCATTTAAACCTTCTTTTCTCTCTTGCATACACGTGTTCCACTAAAAACGCACCTCGGATTGGCAAGCGCCACTGCAAAATCCAGAGAAGTGCACATTTCAAGGCTTCACTGAGTTTGCTCTGCAAGTTGTTTTGAAAGGACCACATTACGCACGTCCTCATGGAAGTGCAAACTGAGCCCATTTCTCCTCCTCCTTTCGGAATTAGTCACTGAGAAATGTTGGGGTTTGGTGCAAGAGAGAGCTAGAAGGGCTGGGGATATTTCCTGGCTTAGAAATTTACTTACAGGGATGGAGACCGTTTGGCAGAGGCATGTAAAAGGGGCAGCGAATTGGAAAGGGAGGGAGAGAAGAGCATGCAGGCCAAAAGGGAAACCTCCTTGGTGGCCACACGGAGGGTTACTACTCAGAGGAGGGCCTTCTCTGCGGTGGCACCCAAATTATGGAACATGCTCCCCAGAGAGGGCCACCTGCTGCCGACTCTCTACTCTTTCAGGCACCAGGTAAAAACCTTTTTATTCACCCATCATTTTAATAATTAATAATTTTAATAAGAAATATTAATCAGTCGCATTTTCTTTTTCTTTTCCTTTTTCCTTTTCTTCTTTTAATTTTGAATAATTGGTTCGGGTGAATGTTTTAATGTTTGTTATTGAAATTTAATTGTATTTTATATGGTTGTTTATTTTGTTGTGAGCCATCCTGAGGACTGCATAGGACGGCATAGAAATGTTTTAAATAAACAAGTAAATAAATAAATGCCTGCTTTTTAGATGCAGCTGCAAATCATAGCAACAATTTTATATACTGTCCAATTGCCTCCATTTACGTATTTGTCCCTAAGCAGGCTATTACACAGGTGCCACGAAGTCTGTGATGTTTCCTCTCCCAGTGGATGACCCTCGAAGAGGATTTCCTGCAGGAAGGGCTGGAATTGTCCCCTCCAGGGAATGTCCTGGCTGCGGATCGGCACATGAGATGGATGCAACGTGGAGAAATCATTCAAATCACGCCGTGTGTGAGGGAGCGCACATGGCTCTGGAAGCACGTGTGTGTGTGGGTGTGTGGGTGTGTGTGTGGCAGCTTGCACAAGCCCAGATGTTTCATGCCTGCTGTTCGCACACACATCTTAGCTGTCGGGATTAACTTGCGAAGGCCTGGCTGCCCTTGGGCCAGAAGCCTGAAGGAGTGACGCCCCCAGCAGAGGGACCCCTGCCTGAACCTGGGATGGTCTTCAGAGGTCCTTTGTTGGGTGACGCTGCCAGATAACAAGGTGCAGTGGAAACCAACGTCTCCTTTTCGGTGGTGGCACCCTGGCCGTGACACGCTTCCCCAGAGAGGCTCGCGGGGCCCCCACAATATGGTATTTTCAGTGCCAGTGAAGAACAACTGATTTTCCCTGGCATTCTACTCCTCCTGCGTTGGCCCTTTTTAAAACAGGTACTGAGTTGTTAGAACCCTATCCAACGTTTACCCCTGTTTTATATTGCCGTCTTTCAAGTTTTAAACATTTTCTATTTCTTTGAATTATGAATTCAAAGAAATTTTCTATTTCGTTGAATTATGTGGTTTAATGGCCACAGGTCTCGGAGGCTGTTGGCCTGCGCAGATGCAAAGTCAACCCCTCCCTCCCGCCCTCCCTCCAGGGGCCCAAAATTTTACCTCCCACATTAGATTATTGTTCTTGCACAGATCCACGTGCTCCGGCGAGATGATGCGGCCAGTGAAGGGTCCCATCTCAGTGCCAGCCTTGATCCACGTTTTAGAAAAGATTCCCAGGCCTTCCCCAGGGATGGAACTCTGAGCAATAATGACTTCGGAAGGCAGGACCAAACTGGATAACTTCTGAACTTCTGCATGGGAGACAGACAAGGAAGGAGAAAAGGCTTGAGGTCAGGCAAGTGCAGAGGGTCTGCATGAAGGGGCTGTGCTTTATCCCATTCATTAATGTGGCCCTCCAAAATGGGGGGGGGTCAACTTGTGAGAGGCAGTATGGCACAGTGGTTAGAGTGCTTGGCTGGGACACAGGAGGACTGAGTTCTGGTCCCCAGTTGCTGACTCTCAGCCTAATCTAGCTCACGGGGAGGCTGTGTTGTGTGCATGGAGGATAGGACTTGTAAGCTACTTTGGGTTCCTTCTAAGAGGAAGAAAAGCAGAGTATAAATGTAAGGCAAGTTAATGATAATGAGACCAAGAACGCGGGTGAAGCCTCAAACCCATTTAGAGAGCCTCCTTTAAAAATCCAAATTTTTAAAGGTTTATGAGGGGCACAGTAAGAGTGTTGCTCGGTTGCTTAAAAGATCCAAGGGACGAAGCCCCTTGGAATTGCAGGATGGCCTAAAAGCAGCACAGACACTTTTATCTGGACTGTTCTAAATAAACATTCAGAAATAATTTCTGGAGTCCCTTCTGAAATTTGCAGAAGGTGCGGGGAGGCAGTGGGGTTCTCACCTCCAATATAGGAAGCTCTCCCATAGGTTTGCGCATGTTCCCAGTCGTCCTAAACCAGAAGCTCCGTTAATCGGCCCCTTCTTCCTTCCAAGGAGGAAAACAGCCTCTCGCCCCGTGCAGTTATGCTTCGAAGGACCATCTCCAGTGGCACCAGTGAAAATGTCATTTTTTAAAAGCTGAATTGACATGTTGGGGAGGGGGCTTAGGGGGGTATTCCACTCTGCAAGGAGGGGCAATCCTTCCTCCCCAGCCACAACCCCCCTTGAAAGTCACCCTGCAGAGCAATTAGAGCAAGAAATGAATCTTCCACGCACTCCAAAGGACATTCAAGGCTTGGGGAAAGCATTGGAGGACCCAGGCCAAGGTCTCTCAACACCCCTGAGCAGAATCTAAGAACTACCTCACTGGATCTAACTAAAGGGGCCATCTGCCAGCCCAGCATTCTGCTTCCGTCAGTGGTCAGCAGCTTCCCTGAGCACTTGTGAGAAGGGTGGCCTGTTAGCTATTCATTCTCACCCAGCATCTGAGGTACACTGCTGCTGTACATGGAAGCTCTGTTGGGTCCACCTGGCACACAGACCTGTCATGAATCGCCAACTTAATGCACATCCTCATATCTTGCCCTGGGTTCAGATTTCATCATGACAGCCGCTAGTTCACCGGGCTCCCTGAGGCAGGCTGTCTCCTCTCAGTAGAGAGGCGACTAGGGTGCAGGAGATGGGACTTCTAGTCCCCACTCGGCCATGACGCTCCCTGGGTGACTTTGGGCCAGTCCCAGACTCTCAGCCTAGCCTCCTCCACAGGGTTGTTGTGAGGCTAAATCGCAGGGCCATGCGAGCTGCCTCGGGTTCCTGGCAAGAGGAGAAAAACGGCAGGGATACGTGGATTGAAAATGACAACGAAAATGGCGGGCGGATGGCAGGAGGAAAATATTAATTCCATAAGGGATGACATAGAAAAGTTTTAAATAAATAAAACAAATTAATGAATCGCGTGCTTTGCAACTGCAGGCACCCACCCCGAGACTGGTGCCCGTAAGACCCAGGGCCAAAAATTACATAGGCGCATCACCAGTGTGAACTGACCTTCAGCAGGCACAGCTCAGGGAGGCCAAATCCAACCAGGGCAGAAGCAGGTTCTGCCCAGACGCGGGCGCCATTATCAGGCCTTTTGCAATCCACCGCTTCACTGCAAACACCGTCTCGGACGCCCTGCTCAGAGTGAGTTTTCCTTTTTGCCAGTTTGCTGCCAATTTCCTCTCCCCGAATCCTGACCAACCACCACCACCACAAGCAAGCAAGCCTGCCTTACAGAGATGCTCCACCTGCAGAACTGGCCGAATCCTGACAATTCGCATTGCGGGCTGGGCCCAGCCTGAATCACGGAAGCCAAACCTGAGCTCAGTCGCCTTCAATCAGAAGGGCATTTTAGCAGAATTGCATTTTGCCTGCATGAATGTAAGGACTTCTATGGCACCCCTGAGGCGTGTTAATGTGGGCACCTGCATTTTGCACCCACCCACCCAGCTGGCATGCAATTTTGCATGCACGGACTTATGAACACACAATGCCACTTTTCAGTTCTAAGACGATGGCACAAGATACACAGGGCTGGCATGCAGGCAGGCCAAGCTGCAGGAAACACACCCGTGGGGAGTGCGAACAGGACAGGTTGCCCCTTTCCCAGTCATGGCAGCTGAGTGGTGCCGAATCATACAGACTCGTCTGCACGATTCCACGGCATGTTCGGTCTCCGTATGCAATGCAGTACCCAACCCAAATGCTCCACACTTCCGTCCGCTGTCCTCTCTTCCCTCTCTCCCAAATTGCACTGCAGTTTGCCTTTAAGTTGTCTCATCTTGGCTGGCATCTTGTATTCCAGAAACACTGCCCTGTTCAGACTTCACTGGGCATCCAGATTGAGTCAGGCTTAGAGGAGACACATTGGAACACACTGGACAGGTAACGTGATGATCGCAAGTGTCACCGATTCCAGTGCTTCCGCTCTATTTTTGGAGCCCACGACAAATAAAACTCTAAGTTTTCGTATTATTCAAGCAGTCTTTTGGCCCACCTGTGTCTGCGGCCGCTACTAATTACACCCTGCAACCTCACTGCGTCAATGGATAGCACAATATTGGCTCTTCCGCTGTTCACTGGGACACATTTTCTCTACCTCCATGTAAAAGTTCACGTTTAGTTAGCAGGTGATTCAGTCCTAAATTTCCTAAACAACTGCAGATGTGCAGACAGACAGTGCTGGCAACATGTACGTACCCCGTGCACACTTTAGGTAACCGAAGCACACCCTTGCGCATGTTCATGGCCCTACATGTCACAACTATACCCTGCACTAGATTAGATTAGGCCTAATTTAGATACCTCTCTCCTTCTAGGAAGGAGGGACTGGCCACCGAAAATGGAGTCGTAGCAAAAGCACATGAAGTAAGACAGCTGTCCAGATTCTCAAGGGAACCAGAAGGTTTGCAGAAATACAACCCTCCCCCCCCCAAAAAAAAGAAGTGGGGGAGCCCTAAGGAAGTCTTTAAAACCCTCAAAGGGCCATGAAATTGGTGAGCCTTGGCTGGGAAAGAAAGGAAGAGGGAGGGGAGAAGGGCACACGGATCAGGTTAGAAAGCTGGGAGACGCTGCAACATCTTGTTGCAGGTGCCAGTTTTAAATTGGTAATTCTCACACGCCATTTAGTCTCCAGAGACCCACTGTCCTTCTTTTCTATGCATTCCTCATGGATGCGTGTAGCACAAAAGCACACATGTGTTACACTCCGGAAAGACACAACACGCCTCCAATGTGGCGGCGAAGGCAGGTCTATCATTGGCGGCTAGCCAAGAAAACCCACATGCAGAGGAAGGCTGTGGTTCTGCCTGTGATCTGTTGAATAAATTCTATTTATTCTTTAGGCAGAAGACCATTTTAAAACTCTCTCTCTCGCTCTCTAAATACCTGAAGCTGGGGACAAACCGTGGCTCCTTCCTGCCCTTCTTGTGCTTTCAGAAGCACTCAGCTGTCCTTGATTGGAAGCAGGAAACTGGGGCGAGGAAGCAGTTGCATACCACCTCCGAAGGCACCAGCTTCCCATTCCTCCAGCCTTTCCTGTGTAGTTAAGGACTGAGCGATTGCCCGATGCTTCCCAGGGAGCTAAGCAGACGCGGCTGGTGAATAACCCCACACTGGGTCACTCTTGCGGAAGAAATGAAACACCGGCTGCCCTACGCAGGAGCACCGCATTCCACGCTCCTGTGGGAGACTAGTGCGTGGTGCGCCCATGTGCGGCACACCTGCAGTCCTGGCCGCATCCGCCCCCACCCGAGCCGCAAAGGGCGCCCCTCGGCCCAAACCTCACGTGGCCCCTCTTGGCCTCTGAGTGCCCAGGGATCCGGGGGAGCACCTTTGTGGGGGGGGGGGGCGCAGGATCAGAGCCACGGCCCCCGGAGCAGGCCACATCTGGCTCCCTGCCTTCCACTGTTCCGGGAAAATACCCCCGCCCGGTGAGTGCGCCCGGTGCTAGCAAGAGGCCCGAGCGCATCTGGACACGGATATGCGTCCAGAAGACAAGGTGTTCCCCCTGGTTTTCCGGCAGCGTCTCCAGGACAGGACAGGACAGGGCAGGACAGGGCAGGACAGGGCCTTTTGCGGGTCGTCTCCGTGCCCTTCCGAGCGCCCTTTGGCCACAGCGACACCCGAGGAGACACAAGCCTCTGGCTGCGCCGCACATCCCGCCTGGCCGCTGCCTGCCGGGGAGCCTTTACCTTGGGCTGTGCCCGCGTCCGCCCCTCCGTGTAGACAGCAAGGCCCCGTCGGTGCAGGGGCGGCGGGGGGTGCGGACAAGGGTTTACAAGGCTCCCTCCAAGGCGCGTAGAGGAAGAACCTGGGAAAAGCGGAGCGCCAAGCACCGAGAGGTCCACGGCTGAGAAAAGGGGGTTAAATGGTGCTTATTGCGGTCATGGAGCGATTCGTCACACTGTTTAAAGAGATCCGTATTCATTCAAGTCACTTGGAAGGAAAATTGCTAATTCTAAATTCATTAGCCCTCGGAGAATGCTGTTGCGATACATTGGGGCCCTGAATGGCCGAAGAAGCTTGTTTTAAAAGGCGGAGGAATTTCTCTTTACAAAACAGGCGAGATTAGCTGCTTGAGATCATCTGAAAGGCAACAGAATGGAGTTTTCATGGTACATTAAGAAAGGAACACTATTCTTGGGGAGCAGGAAAGAGGGGGAATTGGGAGTCACAGAGATGCCAAAGGCAGGGAGAGGAGATTGTCCCCCGTTTGATGAATGAGGAAAAAGAACTTGAGACATTTTAAATAAAAGAATCTGTGTACCCCCCCCCCAACAATTCCTTCTTCTCTTCAAACTCCCCCCCCCCGCGCGCTTTTTAAGTTCTTGGTTTAAGTAGGAACTTTTTTTTCCCCAGGTCAGGCCCAAGTTAACTAAATGAAATTAAAACCTCTCCTTTATCAGTCAACTGCGTTTCCATGCCTAAAAAGACTTTAAACGCCAGGCGCTTTACAGGATCAGGCGGGAAAAGAGCTAAGTGAGGAACAAACCGGAGGGAAAGACATGAGTGGCAAAGTCAGAAAAGAGGGATTATTAAAAGAAAGAAAGAAAGCGAGCAAGGAAGAAAGGAAGCGGGGAAAGAAATCTGGGCCAGGCTTTCTCCCGCACCGTGAAACATGCTGCTATTTCTTTTGAAGGTGGACGGGAGAGAGAGAATTTCTTTGAAATATTTAAGAAGTTGGGCCGCTGGCTTGCAGGGGATGCAGCCAGCGGCGCACCTGATGGATTGCTGGTGGGCCGCCCCGGGACCGAGGTGCTCGAGGGAGGCTAAGCTGCTTTAATTAGCTCGTTTCTGGAGGGGGGAGGATTTGGAAGCGGGCGCAGAGAGTGGCCGGCAGCTCTCGGCTTCAGACCCGTCTGTGGCTTTGTGCTATCCGAAGAGAGGTTCCTTAAGCACCCGAAACTTTCACAGCCTCTGCTGCGCTTGCTTCTGCCAAACCCATCTTGGCTTTTCTAACTGGAGGTGGAGGGACCTTCCCCAAATTAGAATTCTTTAGCGCTTTACCTGGCGTTCCGGAGAGGGAGAGGGAGAGGAACCTACCTACAGGCTGCGTCTCCCCCACATTTAAAATCCGGGTGCCCCGCATCACCACACCCGAGAGACGGTATGCAAACAGACACGCGAAAGATCTCACACGTGCAAGACATAAACAAATGCAGCGTGGCGCTTGCACGTTCTTTGAACGTGCGGACTGGATTTTTAGGCTGTGCCGAAGCATCCAGGTCCGGGTGGAGAGGAGGGTCAGTACTAGAAAAAGCTGCCGCTCTCTCTATGGAAGTATAAATTGTTTTGGACGCGCGCACTGCAGGCCAAAGGCTTCCCGCAGGCGATTCCCACGGATTTCCCCGGGAGACAAGCCCAGCCTCGAATCCTCCCCTGGAACCAAGCGCGGAGCGCTTGCACCTCGCCGGCGCTCGCCCGGGTTCAGACAACACGCCTGCACGCGTGTCCGACAGACGGGCACCAGGCTGCCCGGGAAGGGGTGGCGGGCGAGCCGCTCTCCGCCCGCGCAGCGGCTGCCCCGGGAAGGGCTCACCTCCGGAGAAGGACTGCGCCAGGACCTCCGCCGTGAAGGCCGTCTTGGGGTTGGCGTGGGCGCCTCCGCCGCCCGCCGCGGGCCCCGCTCCGGCCTTCTCCTCGAAGAGCTGCTCGCCAAGCACGTTCCTCCAGCGGCCGTAGAGGAAGCTGTGCAGGATGTCCGACGTGATGACCTCCGCCAGGGAGAGGCCGGGCGGCTTCAGGCCCCCTTTGAGCACCAGGGCCTCCGCGGGCAGCACGGAGCCCATCATAGGGGGACGCGCGCGGGGAGCGGGCGGCAGGAGGCACGGGACGGGGCGGGGGCAGGCGCACGGGGCGGGCGACGCGTGGCAGCCCGGCCGGGAAGGGTCTGCCCGGGCGCAGGCAGAGGCAGCCGCAAGTTTCCGGCTCCTTCGCGGCCGGCGAAATCCCCGTGGCCAAATTCTGGGGCGGGAATATATGCGCTCCGGTGACCTTTCTAATTGGTTATTAATGACCCCCCTTCGCCCTGACGTTGCAGGATAGACTTGTTCTTCTAGAATGAAGCAAAGCCTAAAAGCGAGCCCGGAGGAGCCCTCCTTCTCCGGAGGGGGGGCCGAGGCAGATAAAAGCGGGGGAGGCGGGGATTCTCTGCCCCTCGCAGCCCACCCCGAGCGCACCAATGGAAGGAGCGAGCGAGGCGCGCGCACGGCGGCGCCCCCTTTCCCGGGTCCGCGCTACCCCTTCGCCTGCCTCTCACTCGACTCCGGGGACGGCGCGGGGTGCGGGACGGCGGGGCAGAGCGCGGGGCTGGAAGGAGGCGTGAACAGCGCGCGCAACGCGCCGCGCCGCGCCGGGGATTCTCCTTCCCGGCTTGGGGGAAGAGCCGCTGCCTTCCCTTTGCCCCGGGAACGTCGAGGAGAGTTTACAGCACCGGGCTTGGGCGCCAGAACCGAGTTCCTTTGCCATCCCCCGTGCCCCTGGTTTCATTTCATTTCGTGTTTTACAAGCCTCACCGCCCCAGGAGAGGCGCGCCCGGGACTCGCACGCAGGAGCTGGGCGAGCGACCGCGCCGAAAGGCAGGTGGAGCCGGCCAGAGAAGGACAGCGGCGCGCTCCGCCCGCGGGCGCCGGGACTGGCCAAGCGCGGCCCGGGAGCGCGCGTCCTTTAGCCCGGTGCGCAGAGAGATTCACAGAAAGACACCCCTTCGCCCCTAGCCTCCGCGCTCGCGCGCCCACCCCGAAATGCCGACCCACTGCCGCCGCCCCTTCCCCAGTATCTGTACTATTTCCACCGGGACAAACCGCCTCAAACGAATCCCGACCTCTCCCCTGCGCGGCGTTTGATTCGGATTTGATCCGAGGCAGCTGCTGTGCCGAGGGAAAGCCGGGAGCCCGGGTGGCGGGCGCGATGGGGAGCGGGGGCGAGGGCGAGGGCAGCTTTCCTCGCCTTCGTGCCACGCTTTTCCTCCGGTTCCCTCGCGCACCGGGTATGAACAGGTCGTCTGAAACAGGGAGACACGCGTCCTTTTCACCCCTGGTCCCTTGACACATATACAAAAGGGAAAGGAAGAAACAGAGACCCCACCCCACCCCCGCCGCCGCAAAAAGAGGCTTGGTTTTCTCTTACACCCCCGGGGAGCGCGTTCACACACCCGGCCAGAAAGAGAGCTTTGGGTTTGGCAGCTTTGGATGTAAAGGGAGAGGGAAACGGAATTGTCTGAATCAAGAGGAGGAAAAGAACGAGGGAGAGGAAAAATGAAAAGATTTAATATTCGAAAAACAAAGGTGGACTGGATTTATAAGCAACCCCGCCCGTTCTGCGCACAGGGCCCTTCTCTTTTCTAGGACGAGCGCGACCGATTTCTCAGGGTGACTCGCGCGGGGCCGATCAGAAGCCGGCGGAAAATCGCGCTCGGGAGGCAGAAGCAGGTGCCTCGCACGCCGCGTTTCTGCCTTTCGCTCTAGGATAATTTCCCCCGTTAAATTCGGAGCGGAACTAGATTGCGGAGAGAACGAGAGACCACTCTTAAAATTTTGTTTTCGCAAGTCGCTGCCGACTCAAGAACATTATTAATCTGAACTTTAATAATAATATTAATAGGTCAGCCCCGATTAACTCATTTCGAAGCAGTTCAGGGCGCCAGCTTCAAGCCGTAGAAATTCAGAAAATGCGGCGCATGAGCGGTGTTCTTCCTTTTAAAGGTTGGATCTGATATTCCGCGTCCCCAAGACTTGGCCTGGGAGCCTTTGCTAGGATCGCAGGGGGTGCCGCGGGGGCGCGGGAAGGGCCACGGAAGATGCGATGGACTGGCCAAAAAAAGTGGGAAATATCCCCCCCACACACACACACACTTCCCCCATTAACAGATACGTTGGATGGTTTTCTCCACGTGGGCTAACGCAGAGCAGCCAGGAAGGTGAAGCGCTGCTTGGAAAATAAAATTAAATCCAAAAGCCGGTCAAACGGTGCCGTGCCAGCCCAGAAGCAGGTCTCCCGAGCCCCCGCGAAGCCCACCTGGACCGGATCGGACCGTCTGCGGAGCAACCGCCGATCGGGGCCGAGCGCCGGAGGAGGAAAGGACCCAAAGCCGAGTCCGAACTCGCGCGCAAAGAACAGGGCGGGCAAGCGCCGGGACTCGACTCAGCTCGGATCCCGCGTCTCTCCAGAATTCCCTCGGATCCGAGCCCTGCCCGACCCGACGAATTCCACCGCCCCCAAACCTCCTTTGCACCCTGAACGGCCAGTTTACCGGGGATCTGACAGCTCCGGGCGGCGGCGGGGCCAACATGCTCGGCAGTAGCAACGGGAGCCCAATCGCAGAACAAAAATTACGCGAGAAAGCAACTCGCGGCTACGGAAATAAGTTATGGTGGAAACACGAGGGAAGAGGTGAAGAGGAAAGGGAGCAGTCTTCCGAGAAAATGGGTGCGATAGGAAGTGGGTTAAATCGACCTAGATTACTGGGGGGCGGATTTTCCATTGGAAGTTACCGGGTCCCGAGCAAGTCACCGATTCTTGGGCCACTGCGGACACTAGTCCTCAAGATCACTTCGCAGGGTTTCCAGATCTCACACCCGAGGCTCCTGCCACTTTCATGCAAACAATGCTCACCGAAACCCTCGCATGCACGCGTACTCACGTTCTCGAAACGTGAGACAGGCAAGCAATGAAGGGACCAGGGGGGCACGTGCGATTTCAGAAGTGACGCAAGAGACAAATGCAGAGCTTCCCCAGTTCTGATGTGGGAGAAAGGATCTTTGCTTGCGGTTATTCCGGACTGGTGGGGAGTCGCGAGGGGAAGGCAGCCGAAGGGCCTCGTGTGATCCGCGCATTTGCTAAAGCACCCATTCGTGGCATTCACACGTGACGTTCATTGTCGTGTGCCTAAAGCACGTCGGAACCATTCCGAGTCGCTCGAAGGTGGGCAGAAGAGGGGGCGAAGGGGGCGTTTGTCTTCCTAAACAGCTTCCTTTTCTTGGGAGGCGCTGTTTGCCCTCAGGGTCCCAAAAAGAGCCAGGATTCAGGCCAACGGGAGCAAAAGAGAAAGAAACAGACGGCTACTTTTTCATGCACTAATTTACCAAGGCTCTGAAGTCTTTCTCTGCGTGTCTGTGAAGGATCCTGTCCCCTGCACACGAATCTATTTGTGAAGAGGACGAGGGAGAGGAGGCAACGAAATTCAGGAAAATTTGCGGGCAGAAAGGTTCGCGGGGGGCGGGCAGGAGGCGAAGCGATGGGGGAGCAGCTGCTTTGGGGATCCCCGGAATCTGCCTAAACAAGGGCTGACTACTCAGAGATGCGGGGATCCAGCCCTTGCTGTCCCCCGTTTTCTCCCTCTGCTCCCCCGCTCTTCACACACAGCAATTCGGGAGAGAACCTTCCTCCTGGAGATCTCGGGGAGGGGGCACTTTGCCCCGCTGCATTAGCCCGTCGGGCTGACCCAGGCTGAAGCCAAAAGATACGTCAGTGATGGAAAACCAAGAGGCTCAATTTAGACCCGCACTGACCCTTGCCTTCGGGCTCAAAATATCCCTCTGTGTGCCGCTCCCACTCTTCCTGGTGCGCTCGTACACACGTGCAATGCAGGACGGTGCCCCGAAGTGCAGGAGCCTGGCTTCAAAGTCAGCGGGGGATGTTTGGGGGAGGGGGGGGGGGGAGCCTGGGGCACGTGCTTAGATGAAAGTGAGCCGCGTAGCCAGGGGAAACGGCTCAGCGCGCCTGCTCGTGAGTAAATGTGCATCCGAGGAAGCCTCAGCTATTGGACAATATAAAAATGAAATGAAATAAAACGTATGCAGCCAAGTATGAGAAGCTACTCCCCCCCCCCATACATGAAAACGTGGCTTTTTTCAGGGAAGGAGGCTGCGAGCAGATGCCCCGCCCCCTCCGGGGTGTTCATGGCCGCCCTTCTCGGGCTGGTCCTTCGGGGCCCCAGTCTTCAGTCCCCAAGGGCAGGCAGGTGACTCCAGGTCAGTGGGACTCCTTATCCACTCCAGCTTTTACACTGAGCTTTGCAGGGGCTCTCCATGGTGCTGAACACCGTTCCCAGAAGGGGTTCGCTACTACGAAGCGCTCCTAGAAAGCGCCACGCTAAAGTTGCAATACACTGCCCTGAAGTAGGAGCCGATCATCGCTTGATCTCTCCGTATCGTCAGGACTGACCAGCTCGCCAGGGTATCTGGCCAGGGCCTTCCAAAATACTGCCTACCTCAGCCTCCTGTCCAGAAATTCCATGCATTGAACCCACCGCCTTTCCCATCTGGGGCATGTGCTCTTGAAGAGCTAAGGCAGAGGTGTGTGGGCACAGAATGGCATTGGATATAAAGTCCACTTCCAATATCATTTGGTGGAGCACTGCATATACTGATTGAACTTATATGCCACTTTTTCCCCTCCTGCAAGAAACTCTGCTCGGCTTGCAGAACTCTCCCCCTCTCCAGTTTGAGCCCACGACAACAGAATCCATTGACTGAACAACTTATGGATTTAATGCCTTGCTAAATTCTGATTAGATATTAAATTTAATTGAATTGCAAAAGAAGAAAAAAAGACACAGTGAGCCCTGAAAGCAAGGCTAATTGCTATGGAGCTGACTTCAAGATAACATTCGTTTACACATTTATTCAAAAGATTTATATGCCACTTCTCATTTGGACAGATCCATTCAGAAAGGCACGCCTGATCAGGTCTTGCTTCTCTAACCATGCCATCTTTTGCAAAACTGACCACAGTGCAATTAACAACTGCCATTATTCCAGCCAGCACCCACCCCCCTCATCCCTATTTGCAT